CAGGGTAGTGTCCTATCACCTATCCTATACGCCCTCTACACTAATGACATCCCCACCCTGGAGGGTCACCTTCGGGCGTGGGAGGAGGACGTGAAGTTGGCCTTGTTCGCTGACGACTCGGCCTACTTCTCGTCCTCTCCGTTCCCCTCTGCAGCCATCATGATCAAATTCAAAATCATTTATTTCAACTTAGATGTCATCAAAAACACACTTGTTGAATGTCAAAATGTAAAAGAAAATGTTAACTCTACCACCGGTTCCAAAAAAAGCCACAGTCCTGAGAAGAACCGGCGAAACAAACTCAGCGGGCTTTTTTTTTGGATATTCTCAAATATTTTCTTTTTTTTTTTAAACAAGAAAACATATTTACAGTATACGAAAAAACAAGGCAAAAAAAATACAATTCAAACAAATAATAATAATAATGAAAAATGAAAAGGCCAGGAGCGAACGCCTCATTCCCACATAGTGCCATCTAGTAAAAAATCCTTAACTTTATAATATGCCTTGTTGCACAAACGTTCCTTGACAGTTTTCTTAAATCTATGAACAGGTAGTAGTTGAACGTTTTGTGGGATCTTGTTGAAAAGTTGTACACCCAGCCCCCTGAAAGAGTTGCTTATTTTCTTAATTCGAGCCGCCGGCAACGCAAGCCTATGTTTGTTCCTAGTGTTCACATTATGCAAATCGCAGACTCTGGGGAATTCTACAATGTTTTTACGCACGTACAATAAATTTTCAAAAATGTATTGGGACGGGATTTTAAATATATTAAAAAGTGAATTACCTGAAGTTAAGTACCTACCCAAGGGCGGATCCAGGGGGAGGGTCATGGGGGTCATGACCCCCCCCTGAGCTGGTTCCAGGACCTAGGTGGACCACATATTGAACATAATGATTTAAGAACACAATACTTAGACTGGCCATAAATACTGTTACAATTAAAAATAAACAAAATACATTTGTATTACATTTTAATTTGGAATTATTACATTTTTATATGATTGCTCATTGAGTTTTCTCATTTTGGCGCCAATACATTGTACAATATTTTGCGATATTAAAATGGAGTGGGGTGATAAAGAAAACCGAATCGCTGTGATTGCATTACGCAAAGTAGGTATGGTATGGTAGGTAGGTAATGCAATTTTTAAAACTCTCCATACGCTTGGTATTAGTAAAATGTTTGTGTACCGGGCTATTAATAGGTGCAATGAGACCTCGTCTGTTTGTGACAGAAAAATATCTGGCCGTCCACGTAGTGTTCGTACGAAAAAGGTGGTCAAAGCAGTAAGGGAATGAATTCGAAGAAATCCTGTCCGAAAGCATAAGATTTTATCTCGGGAGATGAAGATAGCACCTAGAACCATGTCGCGTATTTTAAAAGATGACTTAAGACTTGCAGCCTATAAGAGACCTAGTGGTCATTTCTTAACTGATAATTTAAAAGAGAATGGGGGTAAAATCGAAACAACTACTGAAGTGGTACGCAAAGGGAGGTCATAGAAAATTTTTGTTTACGGATGAGAATTTTTTTACAATTGAGCAACATTTTAACAAACAAAATGACCGTATTTATGCTCAAAGCTCTAAGGAAGCTTCCCAATTAGTCGACAGAGTGCAACGTGGGCACTATCCGACTTCAGTGATGGTTTGGTGGAGTATTAGCTATGAAGGAGTGACTGAGCCATACTTTTGTGAAAAAGGTATCAAAACATCGGCACAAGTGTATCAAGATACGATTCTTGAAAAGGTAGTGAAGCCCCTTAAAAACACCATGTTCAATAATCAAGAATGGTCCTTCCAGCAAGACTCGGCGCCAGGTCATAAAGCTCGGTCTACGCAGTCTTGGTTGGAAACGAACGTTTCGGACTTCATCAGAGCTGAAGACTGACCGTCGTCTAGTCCCGATCTTAATCCGCTGGATTATGATTTATGGTCAGTTTTAGAGAGTACGGCTTGCTCTAAACGCCANTCGGCGCCAGGTCATAAAGCTCGGTCTACGCAGTCTTGGTTGGAAACGAACGTTTCGGACTTCATCAGAGCTGAAGACTGACCGTCGTCTAGTCCCGATCTTAATCCGCTGGATTATGATTTATGGTCAGTTTTAGAGAGTACGGCTTGCTCTAAACGCCATGATAATTTGGAGTCCTTAAAACAATCCGCACGATTAGCAGTTAAAAATTTTCCCATGGAAAGAGTGCGTGCTTCTATTGATAACTGGCCTCAACGTTTAAAGGACTGTATTGCAGCCAATGGAGACCACTTCGAATAAGCTTTTTATACTTTAAATGGTTTTATATTTATGTATTAAACTAACACACTGTAAAAGTAATAAATGTTATTTGCAATAGAATATTTTTTTTCCTTTGTCTCAGTATTTATGGCAAGACTAGGTATATTGTTGCTCCATAATTAATTTAATATAATATAATAACTTTGTATGATGGCAAATGTTTGGGACGAACGCATCGAAAATTTGAATTTTACCGTGCCACACTCGCGCGCGCTTGTCGACTAAGTAACGTCTAGCTAGGCCTAACCTCAAATTGAATCCTAACCTCAATCGGAATCGGAACGACTAAACTTCAACATATCTTAACATAGTTCTAAGTTAAAAAACTAAAATTTCTCTATACCTTTAATGTGCTTATACCTTAAATGTGCTTATAATAAAATACCTACGTATCTATTGTTATCAAAATTAATTTATAAGTTCTTGACTTGACCATGACTATGTGACCCCCTCCTGGCACCAAAGCTGGATCCGCCCTTGTACCTACCTAACAACTAAATAGTGCCAGCCCTATCGAAAAACTCTATTGTCTCCATACGTAACCTGATTCACCCCAAAGCCAAGGTAAATCGGATCAAGCTAATTTTTTCAGTTTTTGTGTATATTTTGTAATGAACTCCGGTCACCGTCCTCGTCGAGCCGTCGCTGGCGGTAAAGGCCTCGACGAGCGAATTAACCCATACACACAGCCCACTGAGTTTCTCGCCGGATCTTCTCAGTGGGTCGCGTTTTCGATCCGGTGGTAGATTCTGCGAAGCACGGCTCTTACTAGGGTTCGTGTTAGCAACACCCCCGGTTTGAGCCCCGTGAGCTCACCTACACGTTAGGGTGAAGCTGAAATAGCCTCTCAAGGCTATCAGCAAAGGTAGGAAAAAAGGTAATGAACTATGTATAATAACGCATCTTATATAAAAATTTAAACCTCCGGAACTATTTTAATCTCAATTTTATTGGTACTACCCCAAGAAAAACCATTGAAAATTTGTGTTATATTTGGAAAGGGCCCCGATTCCCCCCAAACAACGGTACTCCGCATCAGTAACAGTACAGTAAGGCCACTATGAGCCAGTATACCTTATTCAGTAGTTGTTGCGGCAGCAGCATCTTGACGTAATCAGGAAGGGCCCGGACGGCTTCCTCGAGGGTGGCGCTGCGTTTCGGCTCCTGTAGCTTGTTGCTGTCCGTACTCAGCACCAACATCTTCGTCTCGCCGTTTTGTACTGAATACTGGTAGAAATATATTTTAAGAGATAAATCAATACGTCATCATCATCATTCTCCTGCCCTTCTCCTATTTAGAACAGTGTAAACTATTTATCAACACATACATTGCGAAAATATATCTGATAATTATTATTATTTTTGTTTATGGATAAGTTTAATGTACTCACAGCGAGAGGTAGTTGGCTCCTCACAGCTTTCTCTCGTTCTTCGGCGGCTGTGATGGCGAGCCGCGCCGCGCACATCTTACGCTCGCATCTCGCTGCCAGCTTCTGTAACCACACACCCGATTTAATAGCAGTGCATTTCTATATTCAACGTTTTTGTTTTCAAACACTACATAATATGAGATTGCGGCATATTTCAATGGTAGGTTTGGTTGATGTTCAACCAGCGTTTCCCAACCTTTTTTGTGCCATGCCCCATGTAACATTTCTAAAATTTGTATGCCCCCCATACATAATTTTTAACATTAAGCAATTAATTTGTTCGCTTAAGAAACATAAATGATAGGTTTTAGGAAGAAATCACTATCAAATTGTTATCAAAACATAGTAACTAATATTTCAAAACATATAATCTAAAATTGAAATTGAAATTCAAAGTAATTTTAATACAAATTTCCTATATTCATTTAGTGCGATTACCCCCCTATATTATCAAATTGTCACCTTATGGAGCCTGGGCCCCAAGTTGGGAAACACCGTGTTGAACACCGGCAGGTACGAAGTACTCTGTCTATATCTACCGTGAAGTGTTCTCACGTTTTGAAGAACGAGACAGTCGTTATATAGTACAGCTGGGACTTCGACTTTACATCACAAGGTGGGTGGCGGTTGTCTGCAGTGGTGCACCGATAAACAAGGAGTGATCCTCGTTTTTATCATCCCAACGCCTGCCACCGGAGTAGAATTCATCGGCGCTACCTGGAGCCGCTACGCTCATCCACAGTGCGTTTCCAGAGATCTTTTTTGCCACGTACCATCCACGGTGTTTCCAGAGCGCTATGACATGTCCTTCTTCAAACGAGGCTTGTGGAGAGTACTTAACGGTAGGCAGCGGCTTCGCTCTGGCATTACTGAAGTAAATAGGGCGACGGTAACCACCCACAATCAGGTAGGCGGTATGCTCGTTTTTTTTTTTTTTAATGCTTATATGTTTGGACGAGCTCATAGCCCACCTGGTGTTAAGTGGTTACTAGAGCCCACAGACATCTACAACGTAAATGCGCCACCCACCTTGAGATATAAGTTCTAACGTCTCCAGTATAGTTACAACGGCTGCCCCACCTTTCAAACCGAAACGCATTACTGCTTCACGGCAGAAATAGGCGGGTACCTACCCGGGCAGACTCACAAGAGGTCCTACCACCAGTAAGTCGTCTGCCTACAACGGCTATAAATAGTGACCTGCAGCTCGGCGAGCGCGTTGTTGGCGGCGAGTCGCAGCGCACAGTTGTGGTGGTGCAGGGCGGCCGCCTCCCGACTGCGTCGCTCTAGCGACTCCTCCAGCGCGAGCCGCTGCTCGTGCGCCGCTCGAAGACTTTCCTGCGCCACTTTCTGTAACACGAAACAATATTTCTCGAGCTTAAGGCATAACGTCGTATCGTCTTTTCGCATTTAAAGTGTACAATTTCCGAAAATATTCATAATTGAATTAATATGCGGAATCATTTGGTATCACCAGTATTTTTCTCATAAACACTGTCAATAAAGCGCAGTTTAGTTTTAGTTTTTTTTTTTAGTTTACCTATGTTTTGACTACTATTAACAAAGTTCATGCTTAATTATATCTTACTTTAATAAACAAATAATTTAACTGTAAAAAATGAAAAAGAAAATGTTGCTAAGATGATTAATATTAAAAATATCACGTATGTTAAACCTTTAAAACACTCTCCTGTAAAATTAGTAAGTTTTGAGATTATACAGTTTTAATGTGAGAAGACGATATGACCTCAAACTAACATTCCCTGTACTATTATGGGCAACCAAAAACAGACATACGTTTAAATATAGACATATCGTCTCCTATATCCTGCGGGGAGGACACGGCGCAACACACGCTCGCCGAGTGTGTAGCTTGGGACGAGCAGCGCAAATTAAATAGGAAGCGATCTGTCGCTGCCGGCCGTAGTGCGGAGGATGATCGGCAGCGCAGAGTCGTGGGACGCGATGGTGTCCTTTTGCGAGGACGTGATGTCGCAGAAGGAAACTACGGAACGGCAGATCTCGATTCCCTTCCCCAGGCTGCAGGAGAAGGGCGGACAACGCCCTTTTCCGCCCCCCATGAATGGGTCCAGGGGCGAGGGACTTGGGAAAGCCCCCGCCCCCTATTCGATGGACCCGAGACGGAGGCGCGTGCGGGTGTCGGCGCGTGCCTCTGAGGCGATGCACGGGGTAGCTGAACGCCTCACTACCCCGTGCAGGAGACGAGGCCTGGACAGACCGGGCCAGCACTGGTGTGGGGCTGCGGAAGAATTTCGATTGCCGCGGCCCCACGCGCACGTGTGGGGAGACACCGGGGTGGTTTTAGCCGGTATGGGTCCGGCACGCCCCTCCGCTTTTCCCCAGACGGAGGTAGTCCATGAGGATATCCCCTCGAAAAAAAAAAAACAGGCGACGGCATTAACATTGTGATATCTATGGACTCCGGTAACCACTTAACGTTCACCCCGCCTAAACAATGAAATAAGGCCAAGTTGAAACGTTTCAGTTTACCTTTTTTTTATTGCTTAGACGGGTGGACGAGCTCACAGCCCACATGGTATTCAGTGGTTACTGGAGCCCATAGACATCTACAACGTAAATGTCGCCACCCACCTTGAGATATGAGTTCTAAGATCTCAGTATAGATACAACGGCTGCCTCGCCCTTCAAACCGAAACGCATTACTACTTCGCGGCCCAAATAGGCAGGGTGGTGGTGTACCTACCCGTGCGGACTCACAAGACGTGCTACCACCAGTCGATAGTTGTTGACAGTTGTTGATACCTGATAGTTCCTCTTGTCGTTGAGTAGCTGCGTGAGATGTTGCTCGTCCGGTTGCTTCCCGACAGACAGCATGGACTCGAGAGTGTGCACCCGCATTAGAAGCCGTTGTTCGCCCACAAACAACTCCCACGAGGCCTGCGCTTCTGCTCTCGTGCGCTCCACGCACTCGCGTAACGTGCGCAAACGATTCTCCAGGGACGCCTCGCGTTGTATCGCCTCCTGGAAGCAGTACAGGCAAATATTTATGTTAGCAACTATAAATCGTGTACATAACACACACTGTGGTAGATTCTGCGAAGCACTGCTCTTGCTAGGGTCAGTGTTAGCAACTCTCCGGTTTGAGCCCCGTGAGCTCACCTACACACGTTAGGGTGAAGCTGAAATAGCCTCTCAAGGCTATTAGCATAGACACGGAAAAAAAAAATGTAACACACACATATACGGCGTAGGTTATAGTATAAGTAAAATTACATTGACACATATACTGAAATATCTATCTAGGAATATGTATATTGTTTCTAGCTTCTAGATCGAATTGTATGTTAAAAATATTATACACCTATGCACCTAGGTTGCTGGACCACTGAGTTATCGTATAGTTAATAAGTATTTTTTAGAAATAGGGTATTCTTATTCTAATTTAAATAAAAATCGGGATCGGATCACCTAATCTCACCTCAGGTTGTCTACAGAAGAGTGTGTACTACTTTGTTAAGATAACTATCAAGAAAATGGATGCTTTGCGTTACGTTTTTAAATAGAAATTCAATTTAAATACCTCAATTTCCGTATTCGTTTCCAAAGTTTATCACAAGTTACTATGCGTTAAAACAATGTTTTGATTGTAACAGAACATCGTACTTTCGAATTATATAGGTAGAACACATTTAAGTTCAATGACTCGGAAACATTTGTTCCTTTGAACATTACGATATTGTTTATTCGTCATATATCTCGCATTATTTTGATAATATAGACAATGCACAAGTAAACAAACGTGACTTCAAACCACTATCTACAACTGCAGTAAATGTCACCGATGCTTGTTTATATCATAGATATTTTTAGTTTTGTAAGTCAAGCTTACTATCTACCTAGCGAATAGAACGAAACTTATCATAGGATACATTGAAATATCCAAATATTAACTTGGTTGCCATTCATTATTAGATGAGAGGAATCTTAGAGTTATGTATATAGTTTTCAGTGTCTCGTGTGCCTATTGCAAGTTTTTCAACTTCTCGAACGCGTAAAAGTTAACTCGTAACGTTTACGCGATCGAAAAGTAAAAAAACTCGCACTAATCACACTGAACAAACTGTCCAATTGGCGAGACATCGAATTCGAGTGCACTAAAAGGCGGAATAGATAAGCCTAAGATATTCGTTTGCTCCAAATACATTAGCCAATGGTCTACACGTGACTATGGCGCTTCCGCCGCAATGAAAACAGCACTTATGATAACTCAAGATGTCTATTATAAATATAACGGGGCAGTGATGAACAGTGACGATAGGTAGAAATATTACCCTAACATCCTCCAATAACCTCTTTGTTTAGGCAGTACTTACTATCCCCATGTCTTTTATTTATCTATATTTCTGGCATAGAGTATATAGGATATTTAAATCGAACTACGGTTTTAGTACGAACGAATATTTTTCCGCCATTTTTTTTTTGTTTATTAAGTAAGATGGAACGAATGGAATAACGGACTTCGGCGATCGCATAAAGAAAGAGTCTGCCATCACGGGATCACACAGCCAAGTCGGATTGTATGTTTATTAAGGCATTATTATTGCATGGTTCAACTCTCCATGTTAGGTATCGCAACAGGAAGTCCGGATTCAGCTGACCGATTGCCGTCTGAAGAGCAATCAACCCAAATACGGTTCATTATTCACCATCCACATAAGAGGGATTCCTTGAAATCCTACCCGTGGAGAGCAAAAGTGAGAGGTTATGTGACTATACCTTATAAAATATATTCTCGTAAAAATATTACAATGCCCAATTTATTTATTATAATAATGTTAATTTAAATTCTAAATTTAACGAAGATTTTTTTTATTGCTTAGGTGGGTGGACGAGCTCACAGCCCACCTGGTGTTAAGTGGTTACTGGAGCCCATAGACATCCACAAAGTAAATGCGCCACCCATCTTGAGATATAAGTTCTAAGGTCTCAGCATAGTCACAACGGCTACCCCACCCTTTAAACCGAAACGCATTACTGCTTCACGGCAGAAATAGGCGGGGTGGTGGTACCTACCCGTGCGGACTCACAAAAGGTCCTACCACCAGAATACGCAGACTTTTAAACAGTCAAGTTTCAACATTATAATATTATGTAAAACACAATACGAACCTGCACGAAATTGTTAAGTTGGTACAACTCCTTGAGGTGCAGCGGCGTGATCATGGTGGGATTGTACGAAAGCTTCGCCTCCTCGTCGTCCGGATGAAAAAGCTTTAGATGAGCGATGACCGGTGGAAACGTATTCTGCAAATGAATGAAAAAAAAAAACATTAAATCTTATCATAGCTTATAGGTTTTCGATTTTCGCCTCGGTCTGGAAACTTCCGTAACGTCCGATAGCTTCATGGTACTTCATTTGTCTAAAAATAGTCATTTGTAAGTTATGGATCCGCTCAAACACGTTTCGTCTGCAACGACCGTCTGTTTTAATTGATTTCTCTCGGACTCAATATGAAATAACAAAATGAAGCTTCTTATGGTGTGGTGGGCGACGACTTGGCTGCACTCCTGGTATTGTTGACGTGTAGGTGGGCCGTATACTGAAAGCCTATAAGGGTAATAAAAAAAAGGAATGCCTACATTACAAACATAATTAATTAACGGTTTCTTATGATTTTTGATTTTTAACTCCAACTGCAGGATCACCGATAATTACATTTAAATACTTATTATAATCAAGTTCGAAAGTTTTGTTTTATTGCTTAGATGGATTGACGAGCTCACAGCCCCCCCCCCCCATGTTAAGTGATTACTGGAGCCCATAGACATCTACAACGTAAATGCGCGACCCACCTTGAGACATAAGTTTTAAGGTCTCAGTATAGTTACAACGGCTGCCTCACCCTTCAAACCGAAACGTATTACTACCTACCGTAGTATACCTAACCGTGCGGACTCAAGAGGTCCTACCACCAGTATAACTACCAGTGAACTCCAGTATAACGCGCCTGGTCTACTTATAACGAGCGAGGTGACTACACTGGTATACGAAATCCGCAGGCAAGTACCAATTGTTCTAATGAATTACGCACTAAGCCATGTTCACAAATGACTACCAACATGAAGGAACAGTACCATGTAATAACAATTAAAATCGCAACAAATTAGAGTTTGCGTAATTACTTGTACAATTGAGACATTGACAAGTCTCAAGCATTCACGTTTTGTTTTCTATGGGCCTAACCTAACCACTTAGCAAAATGTGAGCCATGAGCTGGCTCACCCGTCTAACTAATAATAATAATATTAAAATACACAAAACTCTTATTCTATTATTAAGATGTCAAAAAATGACCCTCCCAGAACAACATACGCCACGGTGCATATCAAGAGTGATCCAGAATTCGAATTCCCTGAGGAACCGGTATTCTCTCGAGCATTTTATTTGGCGAAAAGTCCTATAACAACTCTTATGTAATCTTATTCACTCTATATTAATTAATGAACAGAATTTTAATAAAAATTGTGTTCGTTGCCTTTAAAAGCCACATGAGGTGCTGAAATCAATATTAATACCAACCTTATATTTAATACCTATATTAATTTTATACTATCAATATCAATACCTCATTAAGAAATATTATCTTAACATCATCTGCTAGTGTTTTTCTGTAAAGAAATTAGATATGACCCAATATAGTATATACACTCAGCTACATATGTACTACAAAGTTTTATAATTGAGAGTCACAAAGAGAAAAAAAATACTTTAGGCACCAAGATAGATACACTTGTGCTTGCGTTACAAAAAAAACATGTTTTTACATAATTCGAATAAAGAGTGCATCTTCAACTATGCTATAATATATGTACTATAAATCTCAAATTTCTTCACTGCAAATTCGCTTAAAAAGGGCTATTCAATTTGAATGTAAACATCACATTGATGCCTCCAATGAACACTACTCTAACTCAAAATTTTGAAATTTTTTTTTTCACGCAAATCCTTTCACTATTTTAAAAGTATTACAAATCATTATTGATGGGGTTCGAAGCAAGAGTAAATCAGCTAGTTACACAAGAAAAACCATAAATATATCTGCAATAATAAAGATTTTACCAACTTTTTTTCGTTTAAACGCTCCTCCTGTAAACCTACGAAATTGGAGTTAGCGTAGTGTTCATTGGAGGCATCGGTCATATATATATATTTTTTTTATGTAGTGGTTAAAACGAAAAGTTTTAATTACCTTTTCAGAGTTGCTAACGTTCTCGACGACCGGTATTCCGAACTGGACGACGTCACCGGAGAACACCTCGTTCGGTTCGTGTTCGTTGCAGCGGTTGTTATTGATGAAAGTGCCATTACTGCTCTTGTTGTCCTAAAAACAGACGCGCGGATGTCGGAGCGATGCGAACCAATGTTTTTGTTTTGTTATTATGGCAACATTTCATTTCAACGTGACTAGTTTTTAAATACAATATATAAAAAAATTGTCCTTGTAGGCAGTCGAGCATACGGCCCACCTGATGATCAGTGGTGACCGTCGCCCGTGGACTTCAGCAATGCCAGGGGCAGAGCCAAGCCGCTGCCTACCGCCTATGCCTATAAATATGCCTATACCTATAAATAACGTCATATTGAATTTTAAAGTGCATCGATTTAATCATTTACGTTTAATTAAATGAATAGATAGATATCCTTGGAAATTTCTAGTTTTATTCTTGGATGAACTTTTAAACGGTTGTTTGACAAAGAGATATGATTTTTTTTAAGGCTTCGCCGATTGAATACCGGAGACCATAGACATCAGCAACGTCAATATTGCATTCACCTTAAGACCTGAGTAATAAATCTCGGTTCTATCGCACAATAGTTGCCTTATCCTTCAAATCGGAACGCATTACTGCTTCGCGGCAGAAAGAGGCAAAGTAGTGCGGCCTCAGAAGACGCCCTTCCACTAATAAAAATATATTAGAATTGACTTATATCTGACTTCGAACTCATGTCTCCTTTCACGTTATGGAATCTCTGAATTTCCTTAAACGCCTAACTACCGTGTGGACTCGCGGCCGTGAACTCGCTTGAACATTTACAAATCAACGTTCATAAAATGTGTTAATGTTTTATATATAGACGTATTTTCATTATACGCTGCGCTAAATACAAATCGCAAATGTGTTTTATAATAATAATGTTTAAAACCAATTAATTCATTTTGTAATACGAATTGTCGGACCTGTTGTATATTATCACTATTATACGCTCACGAGAAACTAAGCAACGAGTATTTTATCACCACTTGTAGACAGACTGACAAAAACCCCATCTGATCGTGAGTGATCACTGTCGCTCATGGACATCAGCAATGCCGAGCCGCTGCCTAAATTTGATATTTGATTATTTCAATATTGTAATATAATTCGCATTCAAAATTTTTTCATCTAATATTAAGGTCAATTTTAAGAGTTTGCTTGACCATGTGTTGTACAAAACTTCGACCGGTTGTGCAAATAATGCATATAAATTAGAATTTTATTCACAATCAAATCTTAACGAAATGTCTTGTTTTTTTTTTTGCATATCATAATTAATTTTGTAACATTGAACAAGCGAATTGACTAAGCTTATGACTGTATTCGATTTCTAAATTATATTTTAGTCTCAAAAAGTCAAACATCGTTTTAGACCATAGTATGTATTAACACGTTCAAACATTGACCTTTCGAAAATCGAGGTAATCATCACTTAAAGCCAGGAAACATTTTATACATATCATCTCCTTTTATAAATGTTAGCCTTCCGCTAGAATCATGCTAATTATATGCATGTTACTATAACTTTACGAAATAAAAGGCCTCTTAGCGTACCGTGAATAATTCAACAATTAGACAATTTTATCGCACAACCAACCGGTCTTGCCATAATATTTTAAACGTCATAATTGACACATTTTACCAACAAAGGCAATGATATAGCAGACACCAGATGGTCAGTGCTGGCCATCGGTTAAGACGGCAGCTGTATACCTATATCGTATTTTGAAACATAATACGTAACTAAAGTTTTCTTGACTTCCCCACAAACAAAACTTGATACAAGGCACAGTACAAAGACAAAGTAAATATATGTCTATGATTATATAAGCAACTGCTTGCTTAGATTAAGATAAGGGTTTCTAAAAGCAAATTCCAAAAGGTAATAACTATGATGAAATATAAAACTTACGATCCCACAATTGAGTGAGTTTTAACGTTTTCAAGACAATAAAATAAGGAATTAATGAAAACATTAACTAACCATACATTATTGAAATGACATGATTAGAATAATTATTGGCCGTGGGCGGAATCAGTGAGAGTAGTCCGTTACAGAACTATGGCACGTATAAGTGGTACAAGGCCCACTCATAATTTCAAATGTAGAATGAATTGATGACTTCAATGTCGTAACGCGCATAACTTTTATGCTATCATAACTGTAACAGTTTTCACAACGTTCGCACAGTCGTGATGTCAAAAGCGAAAATCCTATTGAATTTTTATTGAACTAAACGCGTGGTTGAGCTGACGGATAGGAATTATAGCATGATTCTGGCCCTGGATTCTGTCCTTTAAGCCGCGCAACAGAGAACAGTACCAAAATTTAAAAAAAAAACAATTGTTACACATTGCACTACTATTTAAGTTAAAAATACTGTTTACATTCCTACCATATTCGGTATGTGTAATAAAAATAAACAATTGAAGAACAACATTTTTTTTTTTTTTTTTTTTGGTCAGGAGGAAATCGCCGGACTTCCGCCCTTTTCTGGGGGTACTGGTCGGGGTATGTCAGTGTCGAACTGACTAAAACCTCCTGTCGCTCAACAACCAACGTCCAAACCTCGCATGAGACAGAACTCATGACAAGGCAAAGGGGGGAAAGTGAAGCGTTTAGTGCGGAGCACATCTCTCCCATCACCCTCCCCCTCGGGACGCCGGACTGGCGGTCGTCGGCGCCACGACCACCAGCCCTCTCGGTCGGCAGACTGTCCGAAGCCCGCCTAGATGGCGCCGGTTAGAGTGGGTTGAAGAACAACATGACCAACACTTCTAGAGAATTTAAAGTCGAACATGAAATTGTAGTTCGTTTTTTTAGGCTTCATTATGTTATTATCACGATCATCAACTTACCACAAGGTAAAAGTGTCCCTTTTCGTAGTACAGTGTGGCATGCTGCCTCGACAGAACCCGACATTCGAATATGGCGTTAGTAGGACTCGCCGCTGCACGGTAGACATTACGACCAATCTGCAGAATATTCAACAATTAATATAAATAAAATAAATATCAGACAGATTTGTACAATACAAACAGTCGAAACTCTAATTTCCATAGATAATACACATAAACTAAGTTATAGATAAGCAAATCAAGCACTCAACAAAAATGTTTACGGGTGTCGGCCTCTAGATGGCCGATTAGTTTCTCATTGCTCTTATAGATGGCAGTAAATATTACCTATCCTATACTTTATTTATAATGAAGGATTATGTAAATTTTCAGAAACCACTAATTGATAAAATTTAATCAGTTTGTCTATAACAAATAATGACTTGCATGATGTATATTTTTTTTTCTGTGTTTAGTTTTCACAATCATTAAATGTCTTAACTTTAACAACATTTATAAGTTTAGGGGCATCCGCTACAAGATGTCGATAGTTTCGATACAAAAAAACTATTTGTCTTAAAGTATCGCAGTTTCCGTCTAAACAAACAAATTTATTATCATAGTGATAATTCTTTTAGAGGCCCGAATCTCAGAAACATTACTATTATACTATAGTATGTATATATTTACTATTAAACTAGTAAACGTTATGTAACTAATTAGATGAGTGGCGTTTGGTTTATAATTATAAATTAGCTTCGTAATCAATTCATGTTTGCGTTCATGACTCAGATATTAAAACTATTTACTTTAGCGATGCATGTGATGTTATTACACGTTATTATCATACGAGCACATTAAATTATAACGCTGTGGAACAATGAAGTTTAAATATTTTGCACAATTATAACTTCAAATCAGAAATAGATTCGAAAGAACACTAAATTAGTTGAAAAAGAAAAAAAAAATCAATTGAATACATTTATGGTACTTATGTTCATAGCTTTCCATTTGTACAATCATTTGAATGTTATAGCATCTTCCTGTATGAGATAAGGAGATACAACAACTTCCTTACTGACGCTGTTAGTTGTACAGATGCGATGTCAGAAATAGTATAATTTGATTTAATTGCCACTGCGCAATTGCCATCTCAAGCACCCGGGGTCACGATGACTCAAGATTCAACGAGTAATTCATATCTTCTTTATAAATACGATCAGATACAACAAAGAAAACTGCAGAAGGTCTTTGATAGTTTATAAGACGTTTGAAAGAACTTACATGAATCGAATGCAATGCAATAATGCCAATTAAAAATGGTTCAGTATAATCTTTGTATTCTCAATATCTTTAGTGAAAAATGATGCCAAATGACTACATTTACACTTCGATCTATGTATATGACATTGTGTCGAAAAGGAATCCAAGTTTATACGATATAAGCCAAACAAACAATCCGTGACATCAACCAGGTGAGATAAGGAACCCGTCACAAAGACTATTATTCTTTTACGTCAATTATAATGATCAAAAACTATTATGTGCACAGTTGATAAGTAGACAAATAAACATTATACAAAAATATTCTAATGAAGTATAGAAGAATACGCTCATATGTTTTATTAGAATTTGAGGCATCTGAACAAGTTGGATTTTATGTCAACAGTAGCAGGCAGACAGAACGTCGAGTAGCATACAAAGTAAATTATGGATAAATGCAATGGACGCGACGACAATGGAAATACTAAAGTTTTTATTCAACGATACCTTTTGAAATTTACTCAAGAGCGTTGTCGCATTCTTAGGATCGTTTTAAAAAAGATCGGGACTGATTACAATGGTATGCGCGTTTGTTAAAGAAGAATAGGAAACAATGCGGACGTTTCGGATTTACCAAACACTTGTTCAATGATCTTTTTTTTCTATAAATAACAATGTATTAAAACTTTTAATTTAAAATATAGCAGGATATACACTCATGTCGAAATTCATCACTTAACATGTAATTTAATTATATCTTTTAACGTACGTAGAATGAAGACTTGGTTGACTTGTTTTTTTTTTTCAACTGCCCACAGCCGCTCACTGCCGCATTTACCTCCCCTTCGAGGTTCGCCACAATTACCGTTCTTGCCCAGCCCGCATCCGCGACCTTTAGCAAGTCGTCCGTCCACCTCGTAAGAGCCCCACTGTCTACCCTTTTTTCTTCATCTTATCCCACTAGGTAAGGTCGGCAGAGCAAATTTTTCTCTTCCATTCTCTGCTATCAGCCGTCCGCTCAACACTCACTCCTCTCGCTCTCATATCGTCATTCACACGCTCCAGCGATGTCTTCTTTTTTATTTCTTAGATAGGTGGACGAGCTCACAGCCTACCTGATGTTAAGTGGTTACTAGAGCCCATAGACATCTACGACGTAAATGCGCCACTCACCTTGAGATGTAAGTTCTAAGGTCTCAAGTATAGTTACAACGGCTGCCCCACCCTTGAAACCGAAACGCATTACTGCTTCACTGCAGAAATAGGCAGGGTGGTGGTACCTAAACGCGCGGACTCACAAGAGATCTTACCACCAGTAATCTTCTTCGGTCGACTTCTTCCCCCTCTACTATTGAGTTGTTTACTACTATTATACTACTATTCGTAAAATATTTGCAAATCATCAGATCATCTATGGATAGCGCAACCGCAAGGGCGAATCCGCGTTACTTTGTAAATTTATACAAGGTGTAAGATATCCGTTCTCGACAAGGAAATAATGAAGAATAATAAATACAGAGTTGGATCCGCCCACTGACCTCTCTCTCGAAGTTGGACTTATCTAACCGGACTGTTTGTCCCAGGTATATATTTTTGTCTTCAACAGCAAAAGCAGAGTTACCAACAGTTAGTGAGTTTAACACGGTCATTGAACATGATTGTCGCACATTTTTACGTCGTCGTGGCCTAAAGGATAGTCCGGTGCATTCGTGTTGAAAGTTGCAGCACCGGTGTTCGAATCCCAGGCTGGTACCAATTTTTCTAATGAAATACGTACTCAACAAATGTTCACAATTGACTTCCACCATGAAGGAATAACATCGTGTAATAAAAATCAAACGCGCAAAATTATAATTTGCATAATTACTGGTGGTAGGACCTCTTGTGAGTCCGCCCGGGTAGGTACCACCGCTCCGCCTATTTCCGCCGTGAAGCAGTAATGCGTTTCAGTTTGAAGGGTGGGGAAGCCGTTGTAACTATACTTGAGACCTTAGAACTTATATCTCAAGGTGGGTGGCGCATTTACGTTGTAGATGTCTATGGGCTACAATAACCACTTAACACCAGGTGGGCTATGAGCTCATCCACCCATCTAAGCAATAAAAAAACCCCACCGCCACTGGTTAATATTTCATGAACCCACACAATCTAAAGCACAAACAGCTGACAAACTGCCCCATGTGACAGGAAATCGTGAACCCTTCATGGCAATTGTTATTAATTACACTACATTGCATGCAGTGCATTAAATATTGATGAAACCTTAAATTCCTTTTATACCAATCACACTGTTTTTAGTACTTTATAACCTGTTGCAACACCATTATTTTGTATGCTCTTCTGAATTAAAATTGATTTAGACTCGTAATTACATAATTTCAAAGTTAAATATTATTAAAATAATTGGGTGTTTTTAAAATTAGCTATTCATAGTCTGAACTATCATGTAGTATCTGTCTCATGAGGCTTAGAATGTTGACCAGAGCCAGATAATGCAAAAATGTATTGAGCAATTTGTTCATGACTTTTTATGTCTCTTCAAAAACTACATCATACACATTTATTCCTATTGTTACATACTATTTCAAATGCAGTGTTACATACACTTTAGAGAGTACAGAAACAGTAACAGGAATAGTTATGTTATAATATCAGATAATGATATACTACTGTGTGAGTAAAGTAGCTGAACATTTACAGTGTCAATCTTAGTGATTTTGACTCAAGGCTATCAATGGAAACAATTAAGATTTCAGTTTTTATTCTCCTATACTCTTCAAATGATTAAAAATGCACCAACAATTCAGTTAATTCAAATATAATCTGAATAATTGTTTCAACCTGGCAACCAACCATTGAATGATTTAAAGCATGATATATTAATATCCTAAAAAATTACCTCATTTAGATACATTTTTCAGAGAGATCCCTAGTTTACTTTGATTGATGTAATGATGTAATGATTGATGATACCTTACTAATAAAAAAATTAGATCTATACATAATTATTGTTATTTTCATATTTAAAATGATTTGATTATATCAACTGAAATTAAACATATTTTTACTGTCAATTTGAAATCAAATATTAAACTACCCTATTTAGATGTTGTCAATAACTTTTAAAACTTGCAATATTTGTAAGGTTTTTTTTAATGGGTTTACTATACTATAATTTGATTTTATTTAACATCACATTTGTTTATTTTGTCATTAATTATATACAACAAAATTCTAAATCCAAAATGATAAAGGCCAAAAGTATTTAATCTTAACCATCAGAAAAATAATGTGACTGACATGTTTTATGCCAATCTCATATAGAATACCTACCTTAGACTCTTCTGTTTATCTGATAAAGATCTTAAATCCATGATAACAGTTACGATTGCAATAACTAAAGAACTGTTTTTTAAAGCATACAAATCTGCACATTGAACTTTTATACTCAAGACCTGTTTTATGTTAAGTGGTTACCAGAACTACTTTGGGATATAAAGTCGATATCTCAAATCGTATTGATGGGTTGTATGTAATACTTACATAAATATATTACATTATTACAGGCTTACAATGCAATCATAATTATGCCATTTAATGCCAATTATGCAATCATAATTATGCCATTTAATTAAGATATTGTGAAAATTATTCTTCAACTTACTTAATAAAAAGTACTTAGAAAAAATAGATCAAAGATATGAACCCCAGCTTAAAAATCTACCTTATCAACACTTAGAGCAGGAACATGAAAATTGATCATTTCTATTAAAATATGTTACATCGAAACCTTAGATTTTTTCTAAATAGAAAATATAAATCAAACCTGAATTAGTTAAGATTTATTAATGGACTTAATGAATGCATTTAGCCATTCGAATATTTTACACAAGTTGTAACAACTAAATCAATAATCCTGTCAAGAATGAATGTAGATAAACTCATACTTACTCTGACTGTTTCATCCACTGTCACATGTCGTTCTTCAAAGGGTAAAGAATTTGCATGAGGCGTTAGGATTGCCCTCGGAACTCCAGCATCTTGCTTTTTCGACTGTTCAGGCACATTTGTCCAGTTGTAATCCATATTCTTTTTAATTGTGTACATTTGTGGTTTAACTTTTTTACTCTTTGCTATCACCATGGCACATTAAGGTCTTCAAAGCCAGCATTCGTGCTTCGTTGAGGCAGATTTACCACAGTAAGTAAACGGCTGATTCCAAATAATAATCACTTGTTATTAGGTGAAAGGTGACAACATTTAAACACTGCCATTTTGGTGGATATGTTTAAAGCAATCTCTAAAAGCAATACTTATTGAAGTTGTAAATACCATAGCAATTATGCAAACATCTTTATTTATGAAACTTGATTCCTTTCCTTTTCGTTTCGACCACACGACAGCACTTCAACATTCCAATTAAATTTGTTACACAAAATACAGCACTCGATATAAACGCGAATAAATAAAACAGACTGGGTATTGATGTCCGATTTAATACAATTACTAAAAATTATCCTCTCCTTTAAGCAAGGCGTTTTTCTAAATTATGGTTTGAATGAGGAACTTACGAAATGGGCGAATAAATCGGTCATTTGTTTTGTTGAACTAGGAAGACCGAATTAATTTAATCGATTCTACGCGTTTCAAAGAGACTGATGATCATAAAAATCATTCGCTACAGCCTAGTCGATGTCGTAGGGGTTTAAAATACTAAATATCACCTGATATTATTTTTCACTATGATCATTATTAACAATTCCGCAATATGTGGGTGTGAACTTTAAATCATTTTCGGTCTATTTGATGATTAGCAAGCGAAGTAAATTGTCCCTTCGTAATAAAGTGACACTCTACAAATTCAAAACTTGCATACGCCCGGTTACGACCTATGCAAGTGTGGGGTTCGCTCACGCGGCCCGCATCAATTTGAAACCCCTTCAAGTTATTCAATCCCGTTTTTGCAGGATAGCCGTTAGGTTGGAGTACCGTGGTTCATGAGGAACGTGGATTTCCATGATGACCTGGAGCTTGACTCCATCAGTAAGTATATTCAGTCGGCATTGGTGCGCCATTTTGAGAAGGTGGCACGACACGAAAACCCTCTTGACGTGGCCGCCGGAAATTACATATACGATGCTGCGGATCAAATGGTAAGCAGTCGACGTTGCTCTAAACACGTCATTATGGATCCTCCCGATCCACTAACGGTGCTTTTAAGTACTTCAAGCACCGGTCGCCGTTCTAGTCGAATCCGTCGCTTCCGACAAAGGGTTCGGCAAGTAAACTGTCCCATAGACAGCTAACTAAGTTTCTCTCAGTGGGTTGCATTTCCGATCCGGTGGTAGATTCTGCGAAGCCCTGCTCTTGCTAGGGTCAGTGCTAGCAACGCCTCCTAGTTTGAGCCCCGAGAGCTCACCCACACATTCGGGTTACGCTGACCTAGCCTCTCAAGGCTATCAGCTTAGTTAAGAATAAATAAATCATTTTCGGTTTAACTTTTTAAGTTATTGAATCTTTCACTAAATTATTTTAAAATACGTTTCCTTGGGTAATATCAAGTATGTTTAATGTGTAATATATTTATGTAGTTAGATTATGATAAACCATCATCATGTATTTATGAAAAACAAAGTAGTTACCTCTACTATTTTATCTGCATAGATTAAAGGATACATAGTATGATTTTTAAATTTGCGATTATTCTTTGAAGTGAATATCACAGAGTATAAATATTTCGTCAAGTATATTGTTTATATGGTTGTTCCGCCTTTCAAGTTACAATTCATGACTGATTCATACGTTCGTCTGATAGCAATACTAACGCAGATAAACACGTTACAGGTTTGATTTCATACTAAGATGTTGGGCATGGGCATAATCCCAACATTAAACGATTACACTGAGCACCTGTTCATTTTGCCTAGTATGCCTGACTTACATAATTTTATCTATTAAATGAACAGTTTTCGAAAATTCGATATTTGACAGGGCATTTATTAATTTCTACTACAATAGCATAAACAAAACGATGAAAACAGCACATAAAGCAACTAAATTATAAATGAGCTGAAGTATGGGCTCAATTTTGCTCAAGGTTCAAGTGACATGTGAGATCATTCATCAATTATGTTCGCTTTTGGATTTCGGAATATTTACGTGTATGTGAAACATATTCAGAAAGTTAAACTACTAGATTTACTAATGCATTTAAATTAATTACTGTGTTTGGAAAATGTATGGAGTTTTTGCGTGTATTGTGTTATCATATAATCACTGTAATATATATAATACAACAACTTAGGTTAAAATAAAACTTTTGAAATGGGTCATTAAATTTTTCTGACTATATTTTTTTATAGTAACATTACTTCAAATTGTCAAAAATGACGTTACACGAGATGGCGGGTTGCTAGTTTCGATTTTGTCTTTATGGTGCAAATAAAATTACTTGCCAGCTTACAAAATACAAAAATCGAAACTGATGTTAAATTACTTCATTCAGTTCATTCAGTCACAGAGTTGGTAGGATTTTGACGAAAACCATTGCATTTGCGTGCAACGAAAACGGTTTTCTGCCTCGAGTCTTGTGTGAAGTGCGTTTACTGTGTGTGTTAAATCAAATAAAATTAAACTGTAGTGTAAAAGCAAGTGATTTTTTGTGTTCTGTAAGTATTAATATTTATCACTAACGATTTCTAATTAGAACAGTTGTGTTTCATTATAGAGTGGAAATCCTGTACCACGACAGACGTTCAATATGGCCGTTCTTATGATTATTTTGCGAGTATTTAGCAATGTCTTGAAGCAATGAATACTTTGTAAATAGCCATTCATATAAATACATATTCGTAGTTTATTCAGATATTGCGTTCGACAAAGCGCAGTTGATGTGGCAATTGACAGCAATCCGCTGGTTTTGACATTTGATTTCTGACTCATTTTGCAGTTCATCCCTGTGTAGTTTCAAATGCAGAATTTGTTTTGCGCATTCAAAAGATAAATCATTATGAAACTGACTAGGAAAATAAAATACATTACCAACTTTAGCTTTTATTCTTGTACTCTTCAAATATAATTAAATACAGGATTAGGATTACAATTTTAAAGTCTGAACATATCCAATAAACAGAGTTGAGGTAATGCCAGGGTTATGCTCATTTCAATATTATATACATTGACTTAAAAATGTTTGCGATGACATGAAATTTTGTTTATCCGTAAAATATTAAAATAAATAATACCTCTTGACAAACTAAGAGTATTAAATTGATTGTTTTAAAGTTTAAACTATAAATGAAAGAATACAAGAATACAATTGTTATGAAACAATAATTTACATATAGGTACTTAAAAACACTTGGGTTTTATGTTTTTATTGCAAATTAAGGTGTTTATGGAATACCAAATACACATCATTATTTATAATATCTGTAAATCTACAATGTTAACCAAGTCATACAAAACAATCATTTTTAATAAACCATCTTTTCATTCTCTGGTTAAAGTAATAAAAAGGTTGTACTGTGAATGATCTTTGATAAATGCTTTTTTTAAATTGAAATATAATATTAAAAATGTTTTACAAAATCTTAAATTGAATATAATTTCTTTGATGAAAAATATGTCAAATTATTCGATTATAATTTATAATGTATAAAGATTAAAGATGTAGGTCAGTTGAATAAAACCATTTTAGAAAAGCAAATTCAATCAAAAGTATCAAAAAACAGCTAGCATTGTCCTGTGTTAAAAATAACAGTAATACATTTAGTATGGGAGAAGTGAAGAGTGCCTATTCCCTGTGACGTCAATAAAGAATTGTAATGCATAGAGAGATGTAAAGAGCAAAATAAGCATAGTAATTATAATTTGACATTGTGATTGAACTTAGGGAGAGGAATATAAAAACATATGACCAAGGCGAGAAGGCCTAGTTTTAGCCTAATCTATCCACCCACTTTAAAACAATAGTTCTAAGCTCTCAGTTTTAACAGTACAGCGGCTGCCCCACTCTTCAATCTGAAACACATTGCTGCTTTATGGCAGATATAGGCATTGCAGCGGTATCTAAAATCTTAATTCGTTATGTTTCGCTACAGGTGTGATAATGGCAACGGAATTTCCGCCGTCGCCCGCGTGAACAAGTAAGACTCTAGAGCAGTGAACCTCACGTGCGAGCCGCCTCAAGCATCAACCGACCACAATGAAAATGGTGTTGTCACAACGGCAACGAGAGGAGCTGTGAGTATATAGCAAGTTTGTCGCAAAATATAGGCTTATTTTTGCGATCCTGTCTTCGAAGCCAAAGAATACTATTCTTAACAGCAACAATCGAATAAGGTGCTTTCATAGATTTTCTGGAATTGTACCTCCGATCCTGCGATCCTGCGTCCCCCATAACACATCATTTCCGATCCTCCCGATCCACTAATGGTCTTTTTAGGTGCCCCGAGCACCGGTCATCGTTCTCGTCGAACCCGTCGCTTGCGACGCAGGGCTCGGCGAGTAAATTAACCCACAGACACAACCCACTGAGTTTTTCGCCGGATCTTCTCAGTGAGTCGTGTTTCCGATCCGGTGGTAGATTCTGTGAAGCACGGCTCTTGCTAGGGTTCGTATTAGCAACGTCGTCAGGTTTGAGCCCGTGAGCTCACCTGCTAATTCGGCGAATCTAGAAGAACCCCTCGAGGTTACTGGATATGGCAGAAAAAAATTTATCGGATTGTGCTCTAAATTAAAACTGCTTATCTTTATCTTATTAATCTTAGATGATGCAAGAATATTTTCGAATTATAGAAGCCTTTTCTATCGAAAGACCTCAAAACAAACGGAAAAAATAATGGCCCTAAATAACCTAAAAAAAACTTTTTTCAATTTCAACAAAAAAGTCATAATCAAAACTACATTTACAGTTTAATCTTTTGTCCCTGGTCACGAAAATTGTAAAGTATTCGAATAATCGGAAATAATAAATTGAAAATGACAATTGCAAGATTAATCCGTAGTCATAACAAATCTTAAATTATATCTCTTAAAATAATCTTAGATCTCAAATTATAACTTACAAGCGACCCGCCCTCGCTTCGCTTCGGAAACATTAAAACACACATGAAACCAAAAAATAAATAAAAAAAAGTAGCCTATGTTCATCAGGGACAATGTCGGCTTCTAATGGAAAAAGAATTTTTCAAATCGGTCCAGTAGTTTCGGAGCCTATTCGAAACAAACAAACAAACAAATCTTTCCTCTTTATAATATTAGTATAGAAAACTAAAACTGAACGCGTGACAGCCAAAGTGTTCTCCTTAAAGATTCACATGACTTAATAAATTTATAAATTATTTTCGGGTTATAACGTCAATTTACTTTAAGCTCCGTGTAACCGGAAATACTACAAGTTTCAAGTTTCAAATTTAATGCTACTTGCAATCAAACATAACGCAGAGTGAATAGGTATTAAAAATATCTATTTCGGAACAATTTAAACAGTGTGAAATAATAATTTGCGTATCAACGAAAGTCATATCAACTGAATACGTCAAATCAATATGAAGTCTTCCTAAAATATAGAAAATATCCAGCTAAAATACAGAAAACAGAAAAAAATTAACAGATTTGTTGTAAACTTTTTGCTAAATGAGGGTGAAAGAAAAATAAACAACGTAACCCGGCGGTATGTTTTAAAAACATAATTTTACAAAAAATAAAAATAAAATAATTGCCACGGTTACTGTTATTTTCGCATAAGATGGTGATACTTTCACAAAAAGATGCGGATGTAGAGTATAAAATTATTTGCGGTAAACGTCCTTGTACCGTACTGATTCACTAAGAAAATAATGCACAGATTTTTTTTTTAATTTGTCCGACTTCTCCCATACAGCAGGAGCCATGAAAGTATATTAGAAATAAATAAAGCGCATTTTGAAAAACGCATCATTGATAAAATTATGATTTATCGTTACTAGACTTTCGAAATCACTTTATAGTGATCATATCAGCAAATAAAAACAATCCTTACTTAGTAAGAATATGGCAATTTTTTTAATAAATGACTGGCTCTTTCTTTAAATTAATAGCTCACTTGCATATTAATATACTTTCTTTATGCGTGTTTCATTAAAATATCATGTTAGTTGTTGTAGTTAATTGGAAAAGAAATCGTTATAGGAAGGGTGAACAGGTAAACGCCCGAAGCTATGGTGCTTTAGAAGCCATGTTGTGTACCTGCCGACCTTTTGAATGTGACAGTTGGTCTCGAACCGAGGTGTCGTTGACCTCGCAGAGCCACCGGCGCCTGCCGTTGATAACAATTGTAATCCTTGCTTTTAGCGTTAGCTACCTAGATACCAAAAAAGCAATATGTTTCACACAATATAAATAACACAATAACCACGACTTCTCATGATACCGATTGATTTCTTTATTTTAATATAGAAACCGATAGCGCTATCGGTCTATCTAGATTAAAATAAAGATATTAAAAGTGTAATGATTACTGTCGGAACTCATAAAATGGATAAATAAAGCACTAATTTTAAACTCGAGTCTACTAACGGTTTTTATTATGACTACGACTTTTGCAAGACCACTTGTACTACAATTAGCTTTATTAAAACAGTAAGTCACGAATCTATTATAACTGTATTCGGGTTCTTTGATGCTTCAAAATAAATATTGTAAAAATTTTGATTGTATTGTGCCGACCGTGAACTCATGACCTAAAATTCCCTAATGCTCCTTTACCCTTTGAATTCACCTCGCCTGAAGTGAAAGGAAATGTCCATTTCGCAGGTACCTCCATTCAGAGCGTGGTCACGTTTTTCACACGCTATTGTTATACAAGTGCAAACAGATGATTGTAAATGTCTACATGATTATGTAACAACACTATAAAAATCGTTAAACAAACGAGATTATCATAGTTTAATTATAACTTCTAAATTTGGGTTTGCTCATTGTCATTTGGCTTTCATAGCATTATTTATTAGTGGGTCGATGGATGGGCTCACCACGCCACTGTTTTTTGGTCAACGAAAAGGACTATAATTTAAAAAAAAAACAATGAAAATTTATAATTACATATAACAAAGTCAAATGTTTCGCTGAGTCTGAGTGGATGAACTCTAAAGCTCTTAACGTAAAAGATTGCGTTAATCGCATAAAATATTCGTGTCGATAGCTGACCATTCTGAATCAGATGACTGATAGCTAGTAAAAATTATTATAATAAACTAGTACTAGTAGTAGGCTAGTACAGTCACATAACAGAAACATGCATTACTTTTATGCATACGGCACCATTGAAAAAAAACAAGCACCAGTTTTGCAATCATTATCCTCTGTTGTCTATGTATGAATGATAAAATACGTCAACACCAATTGAAAAAAAAAACGAAATGGCCAGTGCATAATAACGATAAGAATCTTTTAAACAACACTAACTTCACGAGACCCCCCATTGGCTTTGTAAGAACGAGGTCGTGTCGAGAGTTGCTCCAGCATTTGAATGGGCATCAGAAATAGCAAAAGCTGATTACGTCACGACACCCGGTTTGTTAACTGTAATCGATCAAGATCATAATCTTGTTATGAAACATAAACGTGAGAAAGTGCTCTTTAATTTGTCTAGTTCGGCTAGTATTAAAATTTCTTTTGACTTGCCTGTAACCTTAATTTAACTCGTCAGTTCACGATGCTCCGAGATAAATTTACGGACCGTTTTAAAAATAAACTGCGTGTCTCAGTTTAGTTGAGCAGGTTCTAGTTGACCTTGAGTCTTTCGGCTTATGGCAATTCCTAGAAGATATTGTACGATTTTCGGCACTACTAACAAGCAAATACGAGATTCGTGAATCATCGTGCTATCACTGTCGTCAAAAATCATACTAATACCAGATTACCATCGCGTTACACATATGAGGTAATATTCAAACAAATTACCATATTAACCATTTATTTATTGTCGTGAGCGCATCTTTAGGCTTTTAAAATTGTATAAACAATTTTCCGCATGAAGTAAGTATCATTGCTCTGTATTGCAATCTCGTAAGCGCTTGTAAGGTTCAAGACCCGTTGCCCATCCGCTAAACGACTTTTAGTTTGGAACGCCAGGAATGCCGTCCATTCCAAGCCGATGTTAATCATCCAGCCGCATTCACTTTATTTCCTGTTTTATTGCTCTTAGTTTTCTTCTACTGATAATTTGTTAAACTCGCCAATAATTTTCACTTAATTCATATGTACCTCTGTAGATCACTGACTTTGTTTAGTTTATAATTCACGTATGAATTCAATCACTAATTCAATATAAATTGTAAGGCGATGTCAAGTGTTCATGTCGCAGAAAGCACTTTTAATTCTAATTCAAAGCTCATCTTCATAAAAATACTTCAGCGTCTACTACAAATTGGATTTTAAGGTCATTTTATTATGTATGCGAAAACATACTTAACTTAATTAAACTATTTGTAAGTATATTGACTTGGCTTGAACATTATTGTAGGAGACTACAGTTTAATTGAAATGTCCCCGTTCACTTTAGTGGTCTATAAAAAGACTGTTGACTTTATCGATCCAATTTCCCTTCTTTGATGAACAGCAAACGGGTTCACCGTATTGCAGCTGGTCTGTTTTTCTCGTTTATAACTTCGGCCATTCATGTGAATTTTAATGCCAAAATCTCGCACCTGGTCAGGTCAAGCTAGAGAATACCAAATGATAACAGCCGGCGGGCTCTTAATCACGACATAATAGCGTGCGAACATAGCTTCCTTAAAGTGCCGCCGTCCCAATTATTTTAGTATCCACAAAGATTAAAACGTTAAAAATATTATTAAATGAGTAGTAAATGGTTCATACATGTTTACACCTATTATTACAAGAAAACACATTCTTCATAACAATACAACCATGCTAACACTAAGAAAAAGAGGTATAAAAACACACATCAATAAAACTTCACATCAAAGAAAACGCGAATAAAAATTCTAAATTAATTAAAATTATAATAGAAGAGAAATAACTTCCAAAATAAAGAAAGCAAGAACCTAATCTTTCTTATTTCAAAACTAACGACATTCTATATCATTTCAATACACTATTTTCAAATTCAACTTATTATTTTACAAACTTCCTAAGAATCGTGTCAACTTATGTTTTGAAACATTTTTCACAAAAAAAACACAAATGCTGAGTCACTTCGTAACAGCTAACACCCTACCAAACTCACTGAAGCCGCA